CTACAAACAAGCAAGATTTCTGGCTCTCACAGACCTGTAACTTCTTCTTTAAGAGGCTCCTCTGTCCTCCACTCGTTACCTGTATTAATGGCACCTGTTTGAACTTGTTATCAGTATAAAAGACACCTGTCCACAACCTCAAACAGTCACACTCCAAACTCCACTATGGCCAAGACCAAAGAGCTGTCAAAGGACACCAGAAACAAAATTGTAGACCTGCACCAGGCTGGGAAGACTGAATCTGCAATAGGTAAGCAGCTTGGTTTGAAGAAATCAACTGTGGGAGCAATTATTAGGAAATGGAAGACATACAAGACCACTGATAATCTCCCTCGATCTGGGGCTCCACGCAAGATCTCACCCAGTGGGGTCAAAATGATCACAAGAACGGTGAGCAAAAATCCCAGAACCACACGGGGGGACCTAGTGAATGACCTGCAGAGAGCTGGGACCAAAGTAACAAAGCCTACCATCAGTAACACACTACGCCGCCAGGGACTCAAATCCTGCAGTGCCAGACGTGTCCCCCTGCTTAAGCCAGTACATGTCCAGGTCCATCTGAAGTTTGCTAGAGTGCATTTGGATGATCCAGAAGAGGATTGGGAGAATGTCATATGGTCAGATGAAACCAAAATAGAACTTTTTGGTAAAAACTCAACTTGTCGTGTTTGGAGGACAAAGAATGCTGAGTTGCATCCAAAGAACACCATACCTACTGTGAAGCATGGGGGTGGAAACATCATGCTTTGGGGCTGTTTTTCTGCAAAGGGACCAGGACGACTGATCCGTGTAAAGGAAAGAATGAATGGGGCCATGTATCGTGAGATTTTGAGTGAAAACCTCCTTCCATCAGCAAGGGCATTGAAGATGAAACGTGGCTGGGTCTTTCAGCATGACAATGATCCCAAACACACCGCCCGGGCAACGAAGGAGTGGCTTCGTAAGAAGCATTTCAAGGTCCTGGAGTGGCCTAGCCAGTCTCCAGATCTCAACCCCATAGAAAATCTTTGGAGGGAGTTGAAAGTCTGTGTTGCCCAGCGACAGCCCCAAAACATCACTGCTCTAGAGGAGATCTGCATGGAGGAATGGGCCAAAATACCAGCAACAGTGTGTGAAAACCTTGTGAAGACTTACAGAAAACGTTTGACCTGTGTCATTGCCAACAAAGGGTATATAACAAAGTATTGAGAAACTTTTGTTATTGACCAAATACTTATTTTCCACCATAATTTGCAAATAAATTCATTAAAAATCCTACAATCTGATTTTCTGGATTTTTCTTTCTCATTTTGTCTGTCATAGTTGACGTGTACCTATGATGAAAATTACAGGCCTCTCTCATCTTTTTAAGTGGGAGAACTTGCACAATTGGTGGCTGACTAAATACTTTTCTTCCCCACTGTATGATAAAAATTACAGACCTCTACATGCTTTGTAAGTAGGAAAACCTGCAAAATCGGCAGTGTATCAAATACTTGTTCTCCCCACTGTATATCTGTATTCCCAGTCATGTGAAATCCATAGATTAGGGCCTAATTTAATTATTTCCATTGACTAATTTCCTTATGTGAACTGTAACTCAGTAAAATCTTAGAAATTGTTGCATTTATATTTCTGTTCAGTGTGTTCAAGGAAAATTAACATGAATCCACACAAACTACAAAAAATATATACAGTACCAGTCAAAAGTTTGGACACACCTACTCATTCAAGAGTTTTTCTTTATGTTTTACTCTTTTCTACATTGTACAATAATAGTGAAGACATCAAAACTATGAAATAACACATATGGAATCATGGAGTAACCAAAAAAGTGTTAAACAAATCAAAATATATTTTACATTTTAGATTTTTCAAAGTAGCCACCCTTTGCCTTGATGACAGCTTTGCATACTCTTGGCATTCTCTCAACCAGCTTCATGAGGAATGCTTTTCCAAAAGTCTTGAAGGAGTTCCCACATATGCTGAGCACTTGTTGGCTGCTTTTCCTTTACTGCAGTCCAACTCATCCCAAACTATCTCAATTGGGTGGAGGTCGGGTGATTGTGGAGGCCAGGTAATCTGATGCAGCACTCCATCACTCTCCTTCATGGCCAAATAGCCCTTTCACAGCCTGGAGGTGTGTTTTGGTTCATTGTCCTGTTGAAAATCAAATGATAGTCCCACTAAGCGCAAACAAGATGGGATGGCGTATCGCTGCAGAATGCTGTGGTAGCCATGCTGGTTAAGTGTGCCATGAATTCTAAATAAATCACTGATATTGTCACCAGCAAAGCACCCCCACGCGTCACACCTCCTCCTCCATGCTTCACGGTGGGAACCACACAAGCGGAGATCATCCGTTCACCTACTCTGCGTCTCACAAAGACACGGTGGTTGGAACCAAAAATCTCAAATTTGGACTCATCAGACCAAAGGACCGATTTCCACCGGTCTAATGTCCATTGCTCGTGTTTCTTGGCCCAAGCAAGTCTCTTCTTCTTATTGGTGTCCTTTAGTAGTGGTTTCTTTGCAGCAATTCGACCATGAAGGCCTGATTCACGCAGTCTCCTCTGAACAGTTGATGTTGAGATGTGTCTGTTACTTGAACTCTGTGAAGCATTTATTTGGGCTGCAATCTGAGGTGCAGTTAACTCTAATTAACTTATCCTCTGCAGCAGAGGTAACTCTGGGTCTTCCTTTCCTGTGGCGGTCCTCATTAGAGCCAGTTTCATCATAGTGCTTGATGGTTTTTGCGATTGCACTTGAAGAAACGTTCAAAGTTCTTGAAATGTTCTGTATTGACTGACCTTCATGTCTTAAAGTAATGATGGACTGTCGCTTATCCTTTGCTTATTTGTGCTGTTCTTGCCATAATATGGACTTGGTCTTTTACCAAATAGGGCTATCTTCTGTATACCACCCTACCTTGTCACAACACAACTGATTGGCTCAAACGCATTAAGGAAAGAAATTCCACAAATTAACTTTTAACAGTGCACACCTGTTATTTGAAATGCATTCCAGGTGACTACCCCATGAAGCTGGTTGAGAGAATGCCAAGAGTGTGCAAAGCTGTCATCAAGGCTTCTCAAATGACTGCCTCGCCTGGTTCACCAATTACTTCTCAGATAGAGTTGAATGTGTCAAATCGGAGGGCCTGTTGTCTGGACCTATGGCAGTCTCTATGGGGGTGCCACAGGGTTCAATTCTTGGGCCGACTCTTTTCTCCGTGTATATCAATGATGTCGCTCTTGCTGCTGGTGACTCTCAGATCCACCTCTACGCAGACGACACCATTTTGTATACATCTGGCCCTTCATTGGACACTGTGTTAACAAACCTCCAAACGAGCTTCAATGCCATACAACACTCATTCAGTAGCCTCCAACTGCTCTTAAACACTAGTAAAACTAAATGCATGCTCTTCAATCGAACGCTGCTGGCACCCGCCCACCTGACTAGAATCACTACTCTCGACGGGTCTGACCTAGAGTATGTGGACAACTACAAATACCTAGGTGTCTGGTTAGACTGTAAACTCTCCTTCCAGACTCACATTAAGAATCTCCAATCCAAAGTTAAATATAGAATCGGCTTCCTATTTCGCAACAAAGCCTCCTTCACTCATGCTGCCAAACATGCCCTCGTAAAACTGACTATCCTACCGATCCTTGACTTCGGCGATGTCATTTACAAAATAGCCTCCAACACTCTACTCAGCAAATTGGATGTAGTCTATCACAGTGCCATCCGTTTTGTCACCAAAGCCCCATATACAACCCACCACTGTGACCTGTATGCTCTTGTTGGCTGGTCCTCACTACATGTTCGTCGTCAAACCCACTGGCTCCAGGCCATCTATAAATCACTGCTAGGCAAATGCCCGCCTTATCTTAGCTCATTGGTCACCATAGCAGCACCCACCCGTAGTCTGCGCTCCAGCAGGTATATCTCACTGGTCATCCCCAAAGCCAACACCTCCTTTGGCCGCCATTCCTTCCAGTTCTCTGCTGCCAATGACTGGAACGAATTGCAAAAATCTCTGAAGTTGGAGACTCTTATCTCCCTCACTAACTTTGAGCATCAGTTGTCAGAGCACCTTACCGATCACTGCACCTGTACACAGCCCATCTGAAATTAGCCCACCCAACTACCTCATCCCTATATTGTTATTTATTTTGCTCTTTTGCACCCCAGTATCTCTATTTGCACATAATCTCTTGCACATCTAGCATTCCAGTGTTAATACTAATTGTAATTATTTTGCACTATAGCCTATTTATTGCCTTACCTCCATAACTTGCTACATTTGCACACACTGTATATATATTTTCTGTTGTATTTTTTGACTTTATGTATTTTTTACCCCATATGTAACTCTGTGTTGTTGTTTTTATCGCACTGCTTTGCTTTATCTTGGCCAGGTCGCAGTTGTAAATGAGAACTTGTTCTCAACTGGCTTATCTGGTTAAATAAAGGTTAAATAAAAATAAATAAATAAAAAGGCAAAGGGTGGCTACTTTGAAGAATCTCAAATGTAAAATATATTTTTATTTGTTTAACACTTTTTGGGTTACAACATGATTCCATATGTGTTATTTCATAGTTTTGATGTCTTCACTATTATTCTACAATGTAGAAAATAGTTATTTTTTAATGGAATGAGTAGGTGTGTCCAAACCTTTGACTGGTACTGTGTATTTTTTGGGGTTTGTAGTTTGTGTGGATTAATGTACATTTTCGCTTCCCCGTATTGAATTTAGTTTTGTCTTGTATATTTTTTGCACCTCCGTTCAGTTGGTGGCGACAATACACCTTTTGCGTGTAGCTCGATATAAAACTCGAAGAAGAAGAAGAGCACGTTTAGGCGTTCATAATTTTAAGAACACTGCCCCTTTTCACAAAAGGTAATCAGATAACACATGCGCAGTGGAAGTCCCTGTTCATAGCACGCCATTTTGTAACAGTAGGCTGATTGTTTCGTGCAAGAGATTAGCTAACCTGTACTTGCAACAAAATAGCGTTTTCTCTGTGTAATCATGTCTGAAAACTATTCGACAGGAGAAGCAGGGGGCGTAGAGATTCCTGAGGGAGCAATTCGCAAATTGTCGGAGCTGAGAGTCATTGACTTGAAAGCAGAATTAAAAAAACGAAATCTGGACGCCACCGGCATCAAGAGTACGCTGACAGAGAGGCTGAAAAAGGTAACGTTAGCCATGCTAACTAGTAGCTAGCTGTGTTTATGCATCATGATAATTCAAAAATGAACTGGAACCAATGTCACGGTATTAGTTAACGTTAGTTGCATGATGTATATAACCACTAGAATTAGCTAGCTAACTAAATTGTGTATTTATTTCAAATAAATTAAATTAACATCTGCTAGCCATGGCCTTGCGTAGCCGAACGGCAAGGCCTTTGTGAGCGGGCGCGGTAGCCACATGGTGCGCTTTCCAAAAACCTATCCTCGAGCCCCCCCACTCCGTATTCTAGAACTAACTAGTTAGTATACCCAATTCAACTAATGAAAGCCTTAGTGATTAGTTGGCCATTTGAATCAGATGTGTTAGTACTAAAATACATCGAATAAGCTGAAAGGTTGTAGCCACTGGAGGAGAGGTTAGAGAAACGCTGCTCCTAGGCCTGCTCCTAGGCCTGCAAGCTTGCTTTCCGGGTCAGATGTTTATGTAAGTCATAATTTCCACTAACTAGCACTGTGTTGTAGCTGACCACATATTCGTGTGTTAGATAATAGTCAAGTTGGCTAAACTCCTTAAACCAGATATAACGTAGTTAGCTAGCTAGCCAGGTAACTATAATAATTCAGTATGTCAATTTCTCCACAGGCTATTGAAGAGGAGGGTGGAAACCCAGATGAGATAGCGGTTGTTCTCGATGCAACTCCTAAGGCGGCACTGGCCAAACGGACCTCCAAAGGTATGTTAAGGGAGTGAGAGCAAGGTCATAAGTAAGCAATGATGTCTTGGAGTAATTTTATATTAAAATTTTACCCCCTTCTCCCCAATTTCGTGATATCCAATTGCATTCCAATTACGATCTTGTCTGCAGGGAAAAGACATGAGAACGATGAATCAGAGGACTGCACCATTGAGGAAGATTCGGGTGATGGCCAGGTGAGTGTCTACCATTGAATCACCTGGTTTTATCTAATGCAATCACTATGCGCTACCTGGATAACAATCTGTTAATAAATTCACCTCCTATAATTCCATTCAAGGATGACAACATGCAGGACATGGACATCCTGGATATGAATGTGCTTGATGAGGCTGAGAATGACAACAGTATGCCAGCCGAGGAGGAGTACGACACAGATGAAGTCCTGAACTCTCCATCGGATGAAGTCAACCCCGAGATCCTGGCTGATGAAGAGGCCATGAACGAAGATGAACACAATGGAGTCTCTGGCTCTCCTGAGCCAATGAGTGAAGCCAAACCTGAAGAGGTGAGACAAACTCACTGCTATTGTGGCACAGTCATATCTAATGATTCCAATGTTCTCCCACTTGTTTTTTTCTCTTTTTTAAAACTAGGAGGCACAGCCTGAATTAGCAGACATTGAAGAGAAGGAAGATCTAATTTGCCCATTACCTAAAGTGTTATAGTTGAACTAAAATGCAAGCAGCATTTCATAATCATTTGTGTGTAGTTGGAAGGAAAACAGACTGTAAAACCCCAATTGTGTTAGGTACTGAGCCATGTTACACTAGATACATTTTCCTTTTATTCCCTTAGGTTCAAGAGAAGGATCTGGAGCCCAAAGACTCAAAGGAAGAAATAGGTACTGTTGAAAAGGGGTTGGAAGTTGATATGAATGCACACTCTTTTTGCAGTGTTAAACTCGGTATGCAAGTCCTTTTAGATTAACATTCATGCCTGTGGTTGGTCAGGAAGAGACTGGAAATCCAAAGATAATTGCTGACTGTGTGTTGACGCTTGTTAACTAGAATTGTTAAATACTGATAAATTAATCTGTCTATTTTGGGCACCCTCCTATTATTAACACAGAACTGGTTAACAATCTGAAGCACAAAGCCAGTAATTAAAGGTTTAGTTGTTGCAGTTAACAGTGTTTTTAGGTTGCCACGCAAAGACCAAGAAGAGAAGACTGAGGCCCATCATTTGAAACCAACCATTCAAAAGCCTTTTTAGGACTCTGACTAATATTCTCACTGGAGATGAGACTAATGGACTTGTTATACAAACCAAAAGAAATCTGAATTCGCTGTCACTTACCAGATTATGGACACTCATGAAGTCAGCAATTGCATGAAGATGGACCTTCATGGAGCCTCTGCTGATCTTGTGGCTTTCTTCAGATCAGATCATTTTCTGCCTAGGGATCAGGTGAACTGAAATGGTCGACTTGAATGAGGAGTTAGGCTGCTTGGTCAGTCTCTTTGGTTTTTCCAGTCTCTTGTTACGTGTGTATCTGTGTATACGTAGTTCAATGACAGCGGAGGGCCACGTCCTTTTCCAGCCTTGCCAGTTCCACGTTAACCATTGCTGTGTTTCAGAAGTAATTAAACTCTGTGCCATTCTATTCCTGTTAAATCCGTAGAAAATGAGAAAGTAGCCGGGTCTTGTTTATCTGAGCCGCTAAATGAAGAGCGCCAGGAGCCACCGACAGAAGATCAAGCCACCATCGGGGACACGGTCAATGTTGCCGAGGAAGACGATGTGTGCAACACCACTAAAGCCAAGGAGGCCATCAATTTGGAGCCTGAACTGTCGACTAGCGACATGGACGTTGCTAAGCTAACTGCGAGTGAAACGAAAGACACTGAGGACACTCAAAATGTCCCAGAAGAGGCAGTTGACGCTGAAAGCGAGAGCACTCGGGCTGTTAGCGTAAGCGAGCAGGGCGCGGGTGAAACCGAAATCGCTGTTGATTCGGAAATGGTCTCTAAAGCTGAGGGTGAGGAGGAAGAGAAGAAGACTGAAGAGAATGCTGCAGAATCAACGGCAGTGAAAGAGTCCTCTTCTGTTGAGGGCGATGATCAGAAAAAGAGGTTTGTTGTTTTCTGTCTACTAGAACAATGGCTATCTCTGTTGCATTGGCTCCTATTTTAGCAAGTTTTGGTGCTCTTCTGGAGGTAAAATGGTCTGCATTTGTCAAGTTATCATTTTGTCATTCCCCACCCCTACCTCACCTCTTTACCATCATAAAGTAATGTATTGGGAGTTTCTTTGGCCATGTAAGGCAGCCTTGTAACATTGACACACACCCAAATCACTGTAATTTTGTATATGCTGGGGTTAATTACTGTGTGCACAGGGTAAGTATGATTCATCTGGATGAGAGCCCCCTCCCCCCAGGTCTTCTCACTTCCAAATATTCATTGTGTGTTCTCTTTGTCTTTAGTTCTGATGAGGAAAAAGGTAGCAAGCCTGACTCAAAAGATGAAAAGGGTAAGTGTAAACATTGTTCATCCTGTATCATTCCGTAATTGGGATGTGATGTGAGTGCGTCTTTTGCAATTTCCTACAATGGCCACATCTGAATGAGGTGCTGAATCAGCTCTGAGTTGAATGTCTGTGTACATTTGGCTCATGTTTGGCTGTGTTCTGAAAGCCCCTACAGGTAGCGCTCCAGCTAGTAGTGGCAGAAACCTGTGGGTTAGCGGCCTCTCCTCCACCACCAGAGCGACTGATCTAAAGACTCTGTTCAGCAAGTATGGAAAGGTCAGTATCCTGAGGAAAAAATAACCACCCCTTTTTTGGTGTATATGTTCATGCATGAATGTAATTGAGCAAGATTTAGGTGTGAAATGGTACTTTCGGACCCCACATACACATTTTCACTGCCCATGAATTAAGTGTCCTATCCTTCTCCGTCTCAACATCAGGTTGTTGGAGCTAAAGTGGTGACTAATGCCCGGAGCCCCGGGGCTCGCTGCTACGGTTTTGTCACCATGTGTTCCACGGAGGAGGCCACCAAGTGCATCAGCCACCTGCACAGGACCGAGCTCCACGGTAGAATGATCTCTGTGGAGAGGGTGAGGGTCATTATCTACCATCTTCTATATCAGTGGCCTCTTAGACCACCTGTAGTTTTATCAAATGTATGGGATGCCTTCATTCAGAGAAGTGAGGATTGACCATTACAGACCGGCCAACCTGCACGCTTTAGGTGTACCATGCACGCAATTTGAGGTCAAAGTAAGCTGGTACAAAAAACTCCCCAAAATAGGCTTCTAGTTGGCACATTGTGGTTTTTGACTCAAGTGTCTGAAGTTGGAGCTGAGCCAATCAGACGACTTGGGCGAGGAGAGAGAATCTCTAGCTCTCCGCTCCGGCCTGCCCTGTAGTCTTAGTACTATTTCCCTCCCTCGTGCTGGATGGCCACTTTCCACTTCGTCTGTTGATACCACTGATGTGTGAGTAAAAGGGGTAGGGAAAATGGAGAACCAACTGTTTGCCAAATACAGAATTGTATGTATTAGTCAAGTGCACAACCACTTATTTTGTGCAGTGTTGCGGTAGTTCAGTGCGTGTCGCTCTGTGGATGGAACAGAAATGGCAGAGCTGTTCTGCTAATACCGTCCTTCACAGAAAGTTATGTTAGGCCGATTTAATTTTTTAACAGTCTATGTTAGGACAGATCAAGAACTGATTAACTATTGATGTAGCTGTATGTCAACAGAAGCCTAGTAGTCAGACCTAAATTGATGGATTAGGTCAGGGATGGAGATCTGAAACCAGCTCATATAGGCCTAGTTCAGTTGTTTCATATTCCAAATAGCCTACATCAATCTAGACGACTACATTGCATCCAGTAATTGAATTATTCAGAATTTTCTCCACTAACTAAATTAAGATGATGCAAGTTTACATTTTCACTAGACTATCCACATAAAGCGGCTATTAATTTGAATCATCATTGGCTACAATTTTTGATATCATTTAAAACCCTATTCGCACGAGACTATTATTACTAGAGAACATTGGTTATGTATTTATTACCCCAGAATGTCCGTTATTCCAGAGAACGATTCGGACGGGATTAGTTTTTCTTTTTTAAACTGCTCCCTGTAAATCTTTTTTTGTTTGTTTTTATAAGTTGACAGTTATGACGGAAGCCTGGAAGTTTTTTTCTTCTAGGCGTGAATATATTTCAATAAGTCCAGGCTACACTGATAACTGGAGTTTCTGTCAACCATACCAACCCGTCTTTGGTATAGTGTCTTCATAATATTTGAATTGAGGAAGTGTGATCATAATCATTAGGATAATTTAGCGATCCGTAGTAGAAGACGTCCTAAATGGCCCCCCAGCCTTCAGATGTGAGCTAAACAGCACACTTGCACTTGATATGCGTTTTTATCGAATCAGTTAATTACATTACCGACCTCCCCCAGTAAAACTAATTCTGTCCGAATAGAGCTCAAGACTCTAGGTTTCAGGAAATGGCATTTACAGGTTTTTCAAAACTGCCAAATGCTCCAACCTCCTGAGGGGGGAGTTGACTGACCCCCCCCCCCCCCCCCCCCCCCCCCCCCCTCCGGACCTCCCTCCCTACCCAACCTTAGGCCTACATCAGCACCACCTTGTCAGAAAATGTGTACATTTAAACATTTCTAGTTAGCTACTGAAAAGCAGCCAATTACCAAGTACCCATAAGTCTATAGCATACCATTCCTACTGAGGCAGTCTTCTGTCAACATTATTAGGCTAAAAAAGGTGCATTTGCCTATGATTTGAGCAGTGTGGGATTCGCATGTGTGCCGACGTGGGGCTCCGGAGGTGATGCTGCCACGCTGAAGTGGTACTCATACAAATTCTTAATGGTTGGCAGGTCTGCCGTTATAATCTGTCTCACCATTGTTTGACCTCCGACCTCTGTTCCAGGCTAAGAACGAGCCTGCTGGGAAGAAGCCTGCTGACAATAGTGACGCTAAGTCTGGCACCGACAGGAGACACTCCTCAGACTCCAAGTAAGCTCTGAGAACATGTCAAAGTCATTACACTTTAAGCTATATACTTACTGTATGTCATCAGATACTAGATTCGTGTTTTTAACTATTTTCTCTCTCCAGGTCCGATGCCAACAAGGACGAAAAGGCTGAAGGTGAAGTCGGAAAAGATGGCAAACGTAATGAAAGGACAGTGGTGATGGACAAGTCCAAGGGAGAGCCTGTCATCAGCGTGAAAGCCAAAAGCAAAGACCGGGTAAGATACCCAAACGCTGACATCTATGCTCCATCTATTGAACTTTCACCTCCAACTTTTGTGAAAAAAATGGTTACGCTACATGAGCTTTTGTGTTGTTCAATACAGAGCACCAAGAGTCGCGACCGCAAGTCCCCAAGCAAAGAGAAGGACATCCTGTCGTTTGACCAGATCAAGGAGCAGCGTGAGCGGGAGAGACGGCGGCAGCGGGAGAGGGACATCAGGGAGGTGGAGCGACGCAGGCACTCTGGGTGAGGAGTTGCTATAGCTGCAAAACATTTCACCTTATTGCTAAGAATGAAGCCAGGTTGTATTTGTATTTATTAGGGATCCCCACTACTCTTCCTGGGGTCCAAACATATTAAAGCACTTACATATAAAACAAAAGAGAAAACAGTACGTCATAACATTATTACACCACTACATATCTACAATACAAAATGTTTAATGCCACCATACAACAATATTACAATGTGTGTGCATATCTGTACCTTTGTGTGTCTCTTCACATGCGTATGCATGTGTCTGTACTCTGTTAGCTTGTTACAGCAGTTAGAATGTTTTGAAAAGAGACTGGTCATTCAAAGTGATTCCACTAAATATCTCCTATGCTTTCTGATTGGCCCAGTGAGCGCGGCAGTGGCCCAGACCGTGGCAGCGCAGACAACCGCACTGAGCGTGAGCGTATCCGCCTGTTCCGGGAGAAGGAGGAGTGCGAGCGCCTCCTGCGGAAAAGAAACTGGCTGGAGGTGGAGAAGGAGCGGCTGAAATTTGACCGCATGGAGCGCGAGTTCCTGGAGCGTGAGCGTCAGCGTGTGGAGTACGAGCGCCGGCGTGAGCAGGAGAGGATCCAACGGGAGAGGGAGGAGCTCCGTAGGCAGCAGGAGCAGCTGCGCTTCGAGCAGGACCGCCGCCCACTCAAGAGGCCCTACGCCGACATTGACAGCAGGTACACACTTTATCCCCATCTGTCCCCCTTTCCCCCCTCTCCACTGCGTCAGTACCCCTGTTTGACTTACCAGGTCTCTATCATAAAATAGAATAGATGGCTGGCCACATAACAACCTCAGCCTTAATCGAGATCTTCAGTGTACATGACTGTCATGACAAGGTGTGCATGGTTTGAGAATATTTTATTGCGACTGACAAAGACCTGCTGCTTGTAGGAAAGACGACTGGCAGGACAAGAGGCTGGCTATGGATGACCGCTATGGGGGGCGCTCAGACTTCGCTCGCCAGGAGCGCTACCAAGACATTGACCACAGGGACCGTGGACGCTACCAGGACGATGCCGTCATTGACAGGTACAGAGTAGGCTGAGTAAGGTTATTTTCCGTGAGCTGACACCAGTTGTAATGACTGTTTATGGCGTCTGTTATGTTATGTAGGCATCATAGATGCTTATGTTTACACTTAAAAAGTAGTATTAATGGCCAACTGCTTGTTGGTGATGAATTTGTGGTTGTATGCCATTTTTCGATCAATAATCAATGTTTGTGTTTAATAATGTTTAATAATCTGATCTTTCCTGTAGGAGGGACACTTCACGGGCTGTAGTTGCAGACCGGGATAGCACAGTAAGAGACATGGCCTCATGTATGCCATTAGGCACCAATATGAGAGTTGTTGATGTTCATGTAGTTCCACCTGTTTTACAGCATTTCGTGCCATTTTAAATGTGACACGATTGTTTGGTTTTAATCATGCTTCCCTCAGCAGCACTTCTCGGACCGTACCGAGAGGCATGGGAGGGACGCCTGGACCGCAGCAGGAAGTTATGACAAGCGTACTATTAATCCGAGGTCAGTTTGATTTTTAGATGGTTTTGTCAAGTTAATTTACCTCTCACCAGATGGATACCAAGGTGTGCTCTGAGCTGCTTGTCACTGACTGTCTGTCTGTGGTTTCTTTCAGGGAGGGCCGTGACTGGGACAGAACCTGGCAAACAGGTCGAGACGGGGGCATCCCAGGCCAAAGTCACATGGGGGCACGGGGAGGAATGGCAAGGTAAATTCAAATAAATGGCAGTATTTACTATGTTTCTATCACAAAGGAGACATACGACAATTCTGGTCCTAATGGTGTCTTGTTTTCTGACCCACAGTCGTGGTGGAGGCTACATGACAACAGGGACCTCCCAGTCCCTCTCTGGAGCTCTGAATCGTCAGAACCAGATGATGCAGGGTGGCGGGGCCTTCGGTCGCCGCTACTGAGGTCTGAACACCCAGTTCCCAGTCACATGTTTAGATGTATTGTGAAACTGTCTGCAGCATGTATATTGCTCACAAAAACTTTGTGAATTCAGATGTTGCTTTTATAGACCCTTTGACTTTTCTTCTTCCCTTTTAAAACTTAACTGCAATTGAACTTAACTGAACATCTGAGTTTTAAATGTCTCTGATCAGATCATTCATAGCTTTTTCATTCTGAATTACCTTTTGTTTTCAAATTGAATGGAATTTATAATTTTTCTATTTTGTGTATTTTGAGTGTGGTTGTATCTTGGTAAGAAATGCTCAGGAATGCGTCTGCTTAAACGTTTGCTGAAACCTGTGGTGAACTTAGTTGCGGAAAAGTACGAACCCATTAATGGTTATGATTGCATTTCGGGCATAATTTCAGTAACTGTAAAATGTGGCGTTGTCTTAGTGTTTATGTACAAAAATATTTTCAGAATTTGTATGGACAATAGGAAACAATCAACCGTGTTAGATTCAACTGCAGTTGTACAATACCACCACTGGATGGCACCTGATGTCTATTTTTCTGTGAGATGAGAATGCTGCCTAATAAAATGTATTTTCTTTTTGCAGGGCAAGGGCAAATTTTTTTGGGGACTTTCTCTTCATAATGACCGTTTTAAGAGGAATGTTGTCCATATTATAACTATTAACGCAAGTTTATTAACGCAAGTTTTGTTCGTGGTAGATATAACTCCACAAATCCAATAGAATTAGACCTAAGAGCTCAGGACTCCTCATGCAACCAGAAAACGATAAGTACGTAAATCATCTTGCCCTTGTGAAATGTGTTGTGTGGGGATTTTCACCTGCATACTTGTAGGCTACATCTTTGGAGCTTAACACTTTACAGACTATTTTGTTTGACGATCTTGATTCATAATGAGCTTATGAATGTTTTAAGTTAATTAGTTTGGCATGATTGTCTATCTACTCCGTAGGGCCTAGGCCACACTGATGTAAACAGTTGCTTAAAATATACATTGTTTTGTTTATTCCACCTGATTTTCTCCTAGCCTACCAGCAGTTTTCCCCTCTAGCAGCCTACCATAACTTTTGATGTCTCTAACCTGCCCAGTCCAGAGATTAAAGATGAATCTTTGGTCCAGTCATGGAATTAGAATACTACAATAGACATGAACCTTCTTATGGTCTAAAGGTCAGCCATTCTGGTCAGGGAGTTAGTTACCCAGACAGTTTTAGAGGAATGATTCCATTAATATTTATAATGAACTGCCAACATTCCATTCAAACAATTGTCAATCCACAGCTATACACTGGATGAAATCGGTTGATAGGACAGACAAGTTGTAAATGCAACAAATACTGACATTGTATCATATAATAGCAATCACAGCTGTCCAAGAAAACAAACATTGAGACGTGTGGTCTGTTTGCATATTTTAGAGGCTATATTGGTATAAAACCCTTAAACTATAATAACAATTTTAGGTTGACAATTTTATTACACAATTTCTGATATATTACACGCCTTACTTTTTTTCTGCAGAAGTAAAATCAGGATTATGCCTGGTTCGGATCTCCCTGACCAATATGGCTGCCATTTTCACCACATTGTGGAACGTTGAGGGTTAAAATTTGCTAGCTAGCTAACCAACAACTGTAATGATGTTTTTGAGAGACAAGTGCTCATTGTGCAAATGTATTTATGTTTTCAATAAACATTGGAGGCAATATAGCTTACATGTCAACAATCTATGCCAACCCAGTCTGTTTTGTCCGTGTCGGTTTTGTTGCTAAACCACCAACCCGTCTATGGGTCCAGTACTATCTTCGTGGCCAATTTGCGCTATGTAAATGTGACAGCCGTTGACAGCAAAGCCCGACTTGCTAGCGAACGAATCCACTGCAAAGTGATTTCATGTGGATTAAACCGGTATACTAACATTATTTACCAAGCTAGCAATGGAAAATGAAGAGAAATGCTAGCTATCTCTGTTTATTCTTTCTTTACCTAGCTAGCCAGCTATACTGAACAGAAATATAAATGCAACATTTCAAAGATTTTACAGCGTTACAGTTCATATAAGGAAATCAGTTAATTGAAATAAATAAATCAGGCCCTAATCTATGGATTTCACATGACTGGGCAGGGGTGCAGCCATGGGTGGGCCTTGGGCATAGGCCTACCCACTAGGCAGCCAGGCCCAGCCAATCAGAATGCGTTTTTCCCCACAAAAGGGCTTTATTACAGATAGAAATACTCCTCAGCACTCCTGCCCACTCCCATACAAACTACCCCGCAGGTGAAGGTGCCGGACGTGGATGGGGCTGGCATGGTTATACATGGTTTGCGGTTGTGATGCTGGTTGGACGTACTGCCAAATTCTCTAAAACGACATTGGAGGCAGCTTATGGTAGAGAAATTAACATTAAATTATCTGGCAACAGCTCTGGTGGACATTCCTGCAGTCAGCATGCCAATTGCACTCTCCCTCAAATCTTGAGACATCTGTGTTATGTGACAAAACTGCACATTTTAGTGGCTTTTTGTCCCCAGCACAAGGTGTACCTGTTTAATGATCATGCTGTTTAATCAGCTTCTTGATATGCCACATTATCTTGGCAAAGGAGAAATGCTCACTAACAGGGATGTAAACAAATTTGTGCACAACATTTGAGAGAAATAAGCTTTCTTTGCATGTGGAAAATATTGGGGGATTTTTTATTTCAGCTCATGAAATGTGGGACCACCACTTTACATGTTGTTTATATTTTTGTTCAGTGTACTTTTGCTTGTTATCAAGCAAAGATACTGCTCCTTCCATCTGTGTTACAAGTTAATAATGGCTCTCCATTCGGATAGCTATCGGTCAAATAAACCTAAACATGTTTTGTAAGTAATATCACTAATTCATATTTGGTGGCCTATATTATTGTAGCCAATTTAGATGCTATTTCTGGGTGTCCTATTACGCCAAGTGGCCCGAACTTCTGACATGGTAGTAGTCCTTGCAGAACTAAGAGTATGACTGCAACATTTCTTCATAAAAGGTGTCCCTGCGCTTCACCCACATCCATCCTGCCAGCCCAGTTAACGATCAGAATTCTGATGGCCTCCCAGCTCCAGCTGGTGTCATCCCGCTTCTGATGTATAAAAAGTTGATGGGAAGCCCCGGAATCGAATCCAGGACCCTGCGACTGTCAGTCCAAACGGGGACACACATAGGAGCTAGGTGTACTAAGGTTGTTACTTTCGCTAGCTGGTGGTGTCTACCAGAATCGAATCATCTAGATGCAACATATTGATTCCAAATTGTGTTGCGTTAAATTAATGATCATTCATTTGATTTGTCATTAGAAAAATAAAAGCAGTAGGTGACACCAAATACCAATAATCTGAGTCTTGACAGTAGTTTTGCATGTCCTTACAGTGACAATACCATGCCAGCACCTAAAGAAATAACAACAATATGGAGGCCATGAAGGCATGTAAAAAGGGTATGTCAGTCAGGTAGGCAGTTGTGATATTTCAAGTACAGAGGATGACCTTAGCAGACCGGATGAGTGGAAAGGTAGTCCATGGCTGCAGGAGTGGGCCTAAGAAGCTGTTATCAGAGGACGAAGAGAGATTAGTGATAGGGCTGTGGCGGTCATGAAATTTCATCAGCCGGTGATTGTCAAGCAAATAACTGCCGGTCTCACTGTAATTGACCGTTAATTAACATAAACACATTAGCATCTCCTGGCTTCCATGCTTAGCCTACAAGCCACTGATGCAGACCTTTGGAACATCTACATTAAAAAAAGTATAATAAATCCATTTAATATAGCCTACACCATCACAATAAATCCATTATTGATTTTAGACATGTCTAAAGAAACATGATATGAAGAAAATGTAGTATATTTCAGAACAGAATAGCATACTCTGAGTTGTCCTTATGTTAGGCCCTGATATGGCTATGCCATATGGCTGTAGGCTACACTAGTTCATTTAGCAGATAGGATTTGCTTAGAATTCCATATAATTATTTTTTCTTAATTCATAGTATGAAGAATACAATTGAACATAGCTGAATAAAATAAAAAGGATATTTTCTCCAAACGATTTCCAAGGAAGTGTCCACATACAGCTATTCTGTGTTGAGCGGTTAACAAAGATACAGATCCTCCCTAAATGCTTAATTTATTTATGCAACTTTAGTTGTGATACAAACATTGGGCTATATGTTTATATTTTGTATGTATTCTAAGGCTGCATGATGCGACTAATGATGATTTGAAAAAAGTTGCATGAAAGGCATGAGCTCTGATTTGTTTCTTGTGCAGGCTGCACACACTTCATCAGTCTCTCATTCACAATTTGACAATTGCCTTTTGCGGCCAAAGTGGCCGTTGTGCCCTTGGGCTGAATTTAATCAATATAATTCCCTTCTCCCGTCTGCCGTGCGCCGAAGCACATCTCACTCACATGGCTCTCTCAGATATCTCAATTCTTATTAGCCAATGCCGGTCATGTGATCGGGTCCTTCTCACAGCTAAGAAGTAGGCTACAAGTGAAGACAGACACATCGGAGACGCAACTGCGCGCGTCCCTCATCGAATTCCAAGGTGCATATTGAAGTTGTTAGAAGAACTGTCCACATTTAGCCTACTTTTCGTCAGCCAGCAAGATGAGTAGGCCTAACGAACAGCAAAAGCACTAGCCTATGTCAATCTACTATCCCCCATAGTACAAAAGTTGACCTATGCTATTGGTCAACTTGTCCTTCTGTGCAATAAATAAATATTCCTAACATACGCTGGGACAGTTGTGGGATGCAATAGATCCCAAATTAATACAACCACCTTTTAAAAGCAATGCGACTGATGCAACAGATTAGAACGTTTAGCTTAAAATTTTGATAAACTATTTGGCTATTTCTTCACATTATAAGCACAGCAATGCGCATACGGCAGTAGGCTATAAGCACGAATGTTCCAAAATGCAATCAATTAGCGGGAAAACACTTTTCTGACCGCAAATACGATTATGCATGTGCTTTATTATAAAGGTGCATTTCTATGGTGAAAATTATCTTCCCCAAACTTGAAACTCACGCGCCGCCTATGTATGCCAGTTAGGATCTATACCGGTTGTAAAGCGGATTAATGTGCTTAATTTTAAGAAATTATTTGGCCACTTTAGTTTTGATACAACCCTTATTAAAACATATAGGCTATGGGCTAGGCAACTATGATAAAATAAAACAAATAAAAAAGGCATGCACTGTCTCTTGCCTTACTGCACACTTTGGGCATCATTCACAAGTGATAATACATAATTCACAAGTGATAGGCTAATATTGTCACCCATCAGACTATTCTTAATTTAATGTTGTCTTTACATAAACTAAATCATGTATGTGTGAAATTAGTTTTGATTTAGAATGGACCATTATCATGCACCTGTCTTGGAACAGTGTAACGTATATGCAGGGAGTCAGGAAGTAGGTGCAGAAGGTGAGTTTAATAATAATATACATGAAGATAATACAAAACAGGAGAAGCGTACTGAACGTAACCAAAACCAATACTGCCTGATGACAGAGGCTACTGAGGCTATATGAAGGGAGAGTAATCAGGGTGGTGATTAAGTCCAGGTGTGCGTAATGATGGGGAGCAGGTGTGCGCAATGATGGTTGCCAGGTGTGCGCAATGTGGGTTGCCAGGACCGGTGGCTAGTAGACCGGTGACGTCGAGCGCCGGAGGGAGGGAGCAGGAGTAGGCGTGACAGTACCCCCTCCCCCCCGGACGCGCGGCTCCGGCCGCAGGAGGACGACCCAGAGGGCGAGGAGCGGGCCGGCCCCGAGGGCGAGGAGCGGGACGGTCCGGATGGCGGAGATGGAAATCCCGGATGATGTTAGAGTCCAGGATGTCCGCCACCAGGACCCAAGAGCGCTCCTCAGGACCGTACCCCTCCCAGTCCACCAGGTACTGGAGCTGACCCCCACGACATCATGAGTCCCGGAGCGACTTAACAGCATAGGCGCGGGTCCCCTCGATGTCCAGGGGTGTCGGAGGGGTGTCACGGGGGACGGCATCAGCCAGGTGACCAGGAACCACCGACCTGAGGAGGGAAACATGAAAGGAGGGTGATATTCGGTAGTTAGTGGGGAGTTGTAGTAGTGTCATACCCAAGAAGAATCGAGGCTGTAATCGCTGCCAAAGGTCCTTCAACAAGGTACTTATGTACATTTGATATTTCCGTTTTTTATTTTTAATACATTTGCAAACATTTCTTAAAACCTGTTATGCTTTGTCATTATGGGGTATTGTGTGTAGATTGATGAGGAAAAAGTCAAGGGGTTTGAATACTTTCCGAATGCACTGTATAGGGCTATATATCAATCTAGAAATCTATTTTGGATGCAATTTGAATGGAATTGATTGAGAGAGAGAGAAAGACTGCGAGAGAATGCTCGCGCATGCACTGATTTAAAGCAACGATATTCGGGTAA